ACCGGGCGAGGGTCGAGGTTCCAGGGCCGAGCGGGGGCGGAGGCGGGGGCTGCTGGGTCCCTGGAGAGTAGAGAATGGGACTGAGAACTTCGAGAGCTCAGAAGCTCGAAGATGCAGCGCAGCCACTCTCAAACCCTATGCCACCGGCCATCCCCACCCCCAGCAGTGCCCTCAGCCTTGGGCACGGCGCCTGCTAGAGGATGCAGGTGTCAGGGGCAGGCTGCAGAGGGGGGCACGGGAGGCCGGTCAGTGGTGTCGGAGGGACAGAGCCCTTGGGGAGAGGACGGGGCAAGCTCGGAAGTGGGCTGGGTCCAGATGGCTTAGTGCTGGGGTGGGAGGATCTGCTGTCAGGTTCTGCGCATACCTGTCAGGCTGATGCTGCCAGGTGACCCCTCCTCTTCTCAGAAGGCTGGGATCATCGTGAAGAGGGAATGTGGGAGTGCAGGGGAGCTGGACAGGAGTCCCCTCCTGAGCCCACACCACTGGGACATCTTTCCTGGGCCCTGGAGCCTCCACTGGGGGAGCAAAAGAGAGGCCGAGGGAGGAGCATGAGCCAAGAGACAGGGCTACATCAGGACCTCAGCACTTCCCAAGGGAGAAACAGGATGGAAAAGGGCTGGGATGCAGTCCCTTCCCTGCCCGGGGGAGACTGAGGAGAGGTGCTGGGGGGCTGGCCCTGACTCATAGGAGTGCAGGACCCAGGGACACAGGCCACAGGGAGGGCTTCTGAACCCCCTGGGTTGGAGGGTGCTGTGCCCCACCCACCTTACCTGGAGCCACCCACAGCAGTTGCAGAAGTACCAAGCCCAGGAGCCTCATCTCCCCTGTGGCCTGGGCCAGGCTGAGCCCTCCCATGGGAGGTCAGCAGGGGCCAGGGCACTAAAAAGCCGAGGGTTGTGGGCAGAGGGGTCTAGAGGAAAGAGGAGCCCCCAAGCCTGGAGAGAGAATGGGAGGACCAGGAGTGGAGGCTGGAGCCCCAGGGCCAGGCAGGGGGTGGCAGAGTGGCAGAGTGGTCGGGAGCTGGGCGCTGTTCTGCTGCTCCAGGGCCCTGGCCCAGTCCTTATGTCTCCCTCACCTTCCCCACTTCCCCTCCGTGCTGCCCCCCCCCCCGCCCCGGGCCCCCAGTCCCTTCGCCTTGGCAGAGTGGCAGAGTGGTCGGGAGCTGGGCGCTGTTCTGCTGCTCCAGGGCCCTGGCCCAGTCCTTATGTCTCCCTCCCCTTCCCCACTTCCCCTCCGTGCTGCCCCCCCCCACGCCCAGGGCTCACAGTTTCACTTCGCAGTGGAAAGTCTGAGGGGGCCGATTCCCAGCAGCAGCACCCTCCACCCCTGTGGTGGCACTCTCCTTGTTTACTTCCTCAGCCCTGGGTCTCCCCACCGCCCCCTCCTGCACACCTCACACCTTCCCTCTCCTGGAGCCCATCTTCCCAGCTCTGCCAGCCATTTCTGCCCCAGCTCCCCAGCTGCCCGTTTCCAAGCTGCTTCACTGGTCCCAGCACACTCTTCCTCCTTAGCCAGCTCCTTCCTGTCCTGTCTCCCTGGCTACCCAACCTCCCAGAAATCCTTCTGGCTGGCCTGAATTGGGTGGCAGAAGTGTACTGCATCCTACAAGACAGACCTGGGCAAGGGCAGCCACAGGGGTGCGGGCAGAACAGTTACTTGGCAGGAGGTTACCTTCTGCATTGGGTCCTGGCCACCATGTTGGACACTATGTAGGGTAACTTGTGAAATTGAAAGCTTCCATTTTACAGATGGAGAAACTGAGGCTCAGAGCAACTAGATTCCCAAAGCTAGGGAGTGTGGAGAGGACTGTGTGGTGTGGTAGTCCTGACCCTGGGTGAGTCATGAGTCTCTCTCCTGGTGGGTGAACTATATTGGTTGTGTCCCACTCCCCTCTCCGGTCTCCTCCGATCTACAGGTTCTGTGCTAAGAGGAGAGGGCAAGGGCAACATGGATTTGGAAAAACGCAGAAATCTTGGAGCAGACCAAACCCAAGGACAACAAAGGGTCTGTAGAAGGAAGCCGGGAGACAGAAAGCCAGCTCTCCATCCCTAGCCCAGCCCAGGAGCCCAGCAGGGAGAGCTGTGGAGGTGACAAGGAGACAGGACTAGAACAAGAAAGTCCAGGGTTCAGCCCTGCTGGAAGGAGCTTGCTTCCTGAATGTCAGGCAGAAGGCATCTTCCCTGCCAGGTTTTTCTGCCAGATCCTGGAAGGGTGAGACCCAGGCCTATCAGTTGCTCCCACTCCAGGGGAGGGACTTCCTGCTTCTAAGTCTGTTTCTATTTGCCTGCTTCAGCACAATAGAGCCGGTAGCTTTCCACTGGGCTCAGCAGTGTCTTGTGTGGGTTAGCAGGGAAGTGTGTGTTTCTGGGGAGGAGCATCCCCAAGAACCTGAAACAGAAGACCGGTCAGCTCTCCCTCTAGAGCAGCCTGGCTCCCAGTCCGCCTCTGGACAGCTGGTTGTTACTCCTCAGTCTCAGCTGTGAAGTCAGCCTCCCGCTCCCTCTTCCCATTCTACCCTTTCCTTGCACTGACTGCACCCTGGAAAGCAGGACACAGGTTAAAAACAGAAGCGCGACCATTTCTTTATTAAATTATACAAAAAGGGGAGGGGAGGGGGGCAGCTGCGGGGCTTGGCCCCAACCCCGGCCCTACCCCGGCCTGGCGCTGTCTGAGAAGGGATCTGAGGGAGACCCAGGATCAGGCAGGAGAGGAAGGAACAGGATGTGAGGCAGGAGGTGCAGGGGCAGAGGGGAGAGGTTTCCCCAGGACAGGGGCAGTGGGCGGAGTGGGCAGAGAAGAAAGCAAGGAAAGGGCGACTGGGAAGGCTGGGGCCCTGGAGGTGGATGGATGGCAGTGAGGGTGGGGCAGTGTCTGGAGGGCAGAAACAGGGCTGGGAGAAAGAAGAGGGTGGCAGCTGTGGGGCAGGGCCCAGAGCAAGAAGCCAGGTGAAGGGCGGCTATGCTGGTCTGTCCCACCCCCACCTCCAAACCCCAAGGGCATCCCACCCCAGCCCCTTGGTGGGGGGCTCATGCCGATGCCCCATTTTCTGTCTTCTGCCGCTTCGGATCTGCTTCATCCTGTGGAGGAGAGTTTGGCTCCTGTAAATTAGAGGAGACCTCCCCGAGTCCCAGCTGGCCGCTCCAGCCCCCGCCCATGCCACTACACAGATCTGTGTCCAAATCCATCAGGCACCCAGCCCTGCTGCATCCCTGGTGCCCCTCAGGGGCCGCAACCCAGCCCAAACCTCCTCTTCAGCAGCTCTCTTCAGCGCGGGCCCTTCGTCATCCTCCTCTTCTTCTTCCTCATCTGAGGAGCCAGAAATGGATCATTGGGGAAGGGCAGGAAGCTCTGCCAGAGCCCCCTGTGGTCGCCCTCAGCCCTGCTGCAGATCTTCAAACCCACCCTGACTGCTCCTGTGAGCCCCCACTTCTCAGCCCTGCTTCCCTGCCCCTTCCCACCTTCTTCATCCCCTTCATCCTCCTCCTCTCCATCCTCAGCAGTTTCTTCCTCTTCCTCCTCAGCTCCATTCTCCTCTTCCTGTGGGGATCAGGAAAAGGAGTGGTGTCAGGCTGGCTGAAGGACCTGGGAGGAGCCTCAGGGTGGACAGTGAGAGTGGGAAGGGTGGAGAACAAGGCAGGACCCAGCACCCCAGGGCGTGAAGGGCCAGATAGTGGGGGAAGATGGGGCAGGAGGTCATCTCCCCACCCCTCCGTACCTCCACCACTTCTTTCTTTCGCTCTTTCCGGCTCGCCTTCTCCTCCACCTTCTCCTTTTTCTCCTTCAGGTCCTAGAGGAAGAAAGAAGTCACCTTTCTCTCTCCACAATGCCGGGCAGCCCTGGCATCTCTTCAGCACCATCTCTCCTTCTCTGCAGGAAGCCTGGAGGTGTGTGAGGTGAAGAAGGTCACAGCTGACAGAACAGAGCTCCCACGTCTTGACATCAGGGCCACAGAGGGCCTGACACCAGACACCTTTGCTACAAGCCATGGGTGTGGGAAAATGAAGGGAAGTGGGCAGCCAGAGCAACTCATTCCCAGCCTGTCAAATTCTTTCAAACCTGCCCAGTGGAAGAGTTCAGCTCAGTAAAGCAAATCCCCTCCATCGGCAGACAGCCTCCATGCCCCACCCCCTCTGTGTCCTCGCCTCCTTTGCCTGCCCCCTCCCACTGCCTGCCTTGCTCTGCCTTTTGTCTACCTCAGGGCCTTTTCCTGAGTGTCTCTCTCCTGGGCAACCCTCCCAGCTTCCCCCTCAGCTTCTAGGGCCTTTGTTTCTCCGGGTCTGAGTCTCCCTGAGCCTCATGTTCTGACCGGCTGAACACTTTGGAAACAGGGAGAGCGCCCTATACATTCCCTGCACTTGCACTATCTCTAGCCCCAAACAGTTCCAGTTGCTCCCCACTCCCAGCCTCCCTGGTATGCACAGTGGTGCAGTGGAAGAGAAATGGCCATCTCCAGTGGAAATGGAGGCACAGCAGGGTAAAAGAAATACAGAAGGGAAAGAGTTACCAGACCAGGTGGGCAAAGAGGGAGCAACACCCAAGGTCTGCATCCGGGGAAGTGGGAAGGTGGACAGGAGGCAGCTGTCCAGAGTCCCCTCACCCCAGGATTGCAGGAGACACACACCTGGTGTCCTGTTCCGGTCTGGCAGAGGGACCGTTCACATGGGCACCCTCTCTGGACGCCACCCAGCCTTCCTCGCCCCACTCTGCCCCTTGCCAGGCACTTAAGACACCTCGGGTCCCGTGTGACAGCTCTGTGCTACTCTGCACCCTGGCTCCATGAGGAGGAAGTTCAATGTGTGGCAGCTCACCCTGGAGGGTGTGGCTTTCTGGACAGGATCAGGACTGGAGAAGGCTGGGTGCTAGGTGGCCTGGGGTGCACTCAACTCCCTCTAACTTCATGGGGAGCTCAAAACACTTGACCCTCTCACTCCACCAAGGTTTTACCTTCACCCCATTTTGCTGTCTTCGTTTCTTTGCCACAGGTAGGTGACCTTTCCTACCTGGTGGGCTTTTCCTTACACCCTTGGCTGGGAGCCGAAGTCAGCATCCCTCTAGGGTCCAGCCAGGGTCTGCACGGCCCTGGCCAAGTTCCCATCTGGGCAGATGGAGGGAGGTGCAGAGGGCCAGCAGCAGAGCCCAAAGTCCAAGGGGGTGAGCCTCCTCCTCCTGTCCTGGCCTTCTGGTCACTGTCCTTCCATGATCCCTTTGCAGGGGGTCTGTGAGCGGGCCCTGGGCCTTATGCTCAGCAGCTCTCTGGCTTTGGTGCGGGCACATACACCGACACAGGCTCACACTGCCTCTCACAGTCAGGGGAGCAGCCACACGACCTGGAGCCACATGGCTGGTGTCTGGCATCCTGGCGCTCTCTCCAGCACAGGATCACAGCGGAGCCGCTCAGCACTCACAAAGCAGCAACATGGCTCCAGAACATCTCCTCTCCTCATGCACACATGTAGCTGCCACGGGCAGTCCCACACACTCGCGGATCTCAGACATACAAAGACACCTACTCAGAGAAGTCACATGCTACCGCACGGCCCACCGGAGGGCCACATGCACACCTTGTCAGCTGGCACAAATGTCCCGCTCCCACTGCCTCTGATACAGCTGGCTCCCCCTGCCCTCCGCAGGCCTCCTCAGCAACCCCCAAGACCGATTCCCAGCCCCCAAACCCTAGCCGAATTAATTTCCCCAGGCGACACTCGGCGGGTTCCCCGGGGAAATCAGAGTAGGCTGGCTTGGAGAGAGGCAAGGGCAAAGGGATGAGGCCCGGGAGAGGAGCTGGCGAGGGGCGGCCAGACATCTCGATGCCAGGCCACGCAGGGCCTGGCCTCGGCCTTCGCGAAGGCCACTTCCCAGATCCCTTCCGATTTTCAGGAATTCAAGATTCTTGGGGGTAGGGGCTGCGATGGGGAAAAAGAAAACTGAAAGCGGGGAGTGGAGAAGGATGGGGTGGAGACGGACGGACCGGAGGGACCGCAGGAGCGGGCGTCCCGGGAGGGAAGTACGAGCCGCCGGGCCGAGAGGGGAGGGCCCTGTTTACACTGCGACCACCA